AAATATTTGGTTGAAAATTAAAACAATTAACCTTCACTTTTCAGAATTCGAATTTTAAATTTATTACTTTTGTGAGCGATTAATCGAAAAAATTATCACGCGCAATCGTAGCACTCAAATCACTCATTTCAAATTGAAATTGAAGAAATCCCGCCCCTCTCGGCTTGAAGAAAAAAAAAAAGTCTCCTTAACCACGTAAGTACCGATTGGTAAAACAGTATATTTCATGCCCGAATCGAGGGGATATCGACGTGCAGACGTGACTTAACAAAAGGGAACAAGTACGGCGCGCGGAGAAGTGGTGAATTTTCCAAGCGACTGCTTCCCCCCAGGCTGGTAATAATTCGCACGATCGATAATCTCATCAGTGAACTTTTACAATTTCGCGCGGTACACGATGGTCAGACTCAGCCGCCGGAGGAGGTGGCTCGAGTTCGTGAGAGACTTGGTTGAAAGCACAAACGGTACACGTGGTCGCATTCCGTACACGTTCCTCGAGTTTATCTCGGGAAAGTGGGACTGACATATTGGGATCGTTCTGGCCGTCTAGTCGCATTTATGTACCCTCCACTGTGTTGGCGTGCCGCGCCAAAATGATCCTCCTCCTTTTTCTTGCCCTGCCTGTTTTATTTGCTCTCCGACACCGTTCGAGCGCCCTCGCTTTTTCAACCCTCGGCATCGAAAGCCGAAAGGCGAAACTCGAGGCCGCGAATCATCGATTCGGCGATCCCGAGAAAAATATTATCTCATTATCTCTTCGAACGGAGGGAGATCGAGTTATTGGGATATCGAGGACGGTGAATGCTGCGTGAACATGCGGAATATCTTGTGTAAATACGATATTATCGGAGGAAAAGTCTGCAATGTAAAATAGAGATGGGAGAAATTCCCTTTGAAAAGGAATATAAAGGGGAGCAAGGTTCAAAAGGAGAGTGATTTGCCGCAAACGACACTTGGTGCTACTTCAGTTTCTTCGAACTTTGCAAAATTACAGAAAATGGATGGAAGGAGAAGCAGGCCGAAGCAGAACAAAGGGACGAGACAAGAAATGATAAAACGAAACGGAGGCAGAACGAAACTTCCATTTAAACGATTCGCAAATAGTAAGAACTTTGTTTATTATGACGACAGCGAGCGTGGCGAACATATCAATTTCTTCGAAGTTTATAAAATCATAGAAACCGTTATAAATGGAAGTAGTAATAATGGAACAAAACGGAGAAAATAATAAGTAAAGAAGAAGTAATGAAACAAAACAGGAGTAAAAAGAACTTGCATTTAAAACGAATTTAAAAAGAAAACGGCTTACCATACCGAATGCTACAAACTCTTTGCTTCAATTTCTTTGGACTTCATAAAATTACAGGGGAAAAAGAAAATACAGGAAGAAATAATAGTAGGAAACCTCTTATAACAAGAATATAGAAAGAAACAATAATGTTCAATAATGTAAATCACCAATGGGAAAAAGAAATAAATAAATTACGAGTGAAATTGCATTGACGCAACTTCACGAGAAGAATTTCCATTAAATTAAATTCACCAAGATAAAAATTAGTGATGAAACGTTTACGAAAGATTTGACCAGAGCGAACGAAACCAACTTCGAACAAACCAAAACGGAATACGCCGAGTGTAGAGACTAGTAATCCCGAAAAGCAGCATTTAATCATTAACGAAATAGCACTTTATTGGATCTGTTCGCGCGGAACGGGACTGGGGATCCTATTACGATGAACCGACAAGCATATTAACGGACGTTACGAGAGATAACGTCAGGAAGCTCCTATCGATCCTATTCGTGACAGGTTGATGGCCTAATTATATCGTGCCCAATGTCTCATTGTGAAGCTCATTAGACGAGCCTCGGTTCTAAGTTCCACCATCTAATTAAGTCCACGTGCCTTTCATTCCTTTCAGCGCGTGAAAATGGCACGAGCAGCGCCATTTTCGGATGACGTTCCATTTAGGTCACGCGTACCACGCGGCCAGTGCGACAGTCTTTTGTTCATTTTCATTCGTAGCTTTGTTTATTTACTTTGTTTTTTTAAGCTTGCTTGTACACACCGGTCTCAGTTTATTTATTTACATTTCGATAATACTTGTCCGCGAAAGCTGAAGAGGAATTCCGCTTTTGTTGCAGGTGTCGAATGAAACAATGGAGAAGAGACCTGCCGCCAACGTCCGTGATAATCACGTTTCACAACGAAGCGCGATCGACGCTGCTCAGAACGGTCGTCAGGTATATTTTTAATTTTATTTTTATTATTACGGCGAGTCGAGTTATCATCTGGTGTTTTTTTCTCTTCTGTTTTTTTTTTCTTTTTTCAATTATTGCTTAAATTTTATTTGCTCCGAATTTCCCCTTGGTTAAAACGTGTATTCTAATTTACAAATATGCGAAGTTAATTACTAGACTGTGGATCCTCGTGGAAAATTCATTCGAACGACGTTTACGAAAGAAGAGCTACAAATATAAAGAGCGAAGGGATATCAAATGTGTACGATTGGAACATGTTATTAAGTAATATGAAGATCCGGCAAAATATTGAAATTATTACGTATAGTAATTTAAAACGTGTATGTAATGTTACGTGTTCGAATATTTTCCCAATACCAATATTGAATTTAATGATGTAGACAAGAGGGAAAAGGGAAAATGAAAAAACAAGAAAATATTTGTGTAGAAAATAATAAAATGCAAAGTAATTAATTTCACATATTTGCAAGCCAGATTCGGTAGCTTTAATTCATCACGGCTTATAAAATTCAATAACGACATTTCAATTAAATATATATGTAGCAATAACTTTGAAAATAGCTTAATATCCAAATATTAAATTGAATGACTAATGTCGTTATGGCGTTAAAATGACGCATTACGAAAATAAGAAAGAAAAAGAAGA